ATTTAGGTCTAACCTTTACATTTACCATAACCCTTATTATAAACAGTATACTCCAAACCGTCCTCTTTAACCTACTAGCATCTAACTCACATTGTTTCATTGTCAAAATCTGCTCAAACACTTAATTAAAGTAAAGGGGTTCATTCATTAAAATCTGTTTAATTTATATGCAAATAATTCAGACTAATCCAAAGCGTCAAATGTACATGGAAAAAGTGAAACCTGTAACCCAGCCTCGACACATTTAGGTTTGCAGAGTTTTTACAAAATGAGTTGTAAATACTCTGTTTGTTTTTTAAACATTTGGGTTTACAGTGCCTGATGATCCAGCATTCAAAAAGCAGCCTCAGCAGGTCAGAATGATTGAGACGCTTTTTGCAAAGTGCAAAAAAACTCTAGATATTCCCTTGAACGACGTTAGCAGATGATGCAGAGCTGTTCCAAAAATGTTCAGACTCTGACAACTAAACGGTTTACATGTGTGACGAGGTCTTAGTCGTGACTTAATGTTGACTTTGTATCGGTAGTTCATATATTGTGGAGGTAGTGAAAGGAAATAAACTCTGAGATTGCTGTATTACCCTGAAATAGCTGAAAGTCAGAGATGTGAATGTATGTTTTTAAGAAATTCTTCTTCCTCTCAGCATTTCAGGTCTCAGATGTATTTGGAAAACCTTTCAGGCATCCAGAGCAGCGTAGCAGCTGGAAGCAGCTCCGCTCTGGTCTCCTCCAGCTCCAGCAGCAGCAGCTACAACACCAGCAGCCACACGGCCTCCATCCATGACACCAGAGGAGGAGGGGGAGGGGGGCGCTCCGGAGATGTGAGCGGAGGTAGCCTGTCGGACATTATCTCACTGGACTGAGCCATGTTCTTCACACCTTCTCCAGGCTTCCTGTCAGACTCTTTCCATGCTGAACCTCTCTGGTGGACCTCATCCTTCTCTAAGAGAGGAAACATCCAGATGTTGACATCCGTCATTTAACCGTGCCTCATATTCAAAGGTTCTGATTAGGAGGGACGTCCCGGAAAAGCTGGTTTCCTCCAAGGACGGTGAGGAAAAAACAGAATCTGTGTTTAATATAAAATCAGCTGAGCTCATGACAAAACCAGAGCGAGAGAACCCCAACAGAACCAGACTGGGCTCCAAACATCTCCATACTGGAAACACAAACTGGGGGTGGGGGGGGTTATTTATTGATGTGGGAAAATGGAAACGGATACCAGCAGTGACCTGAGCTCCTCTTTCTGCCAATAAATCAGATCAGAGTATTGATCATCATAA